ACTCGAGAAGCGAGCTACAGAAAAACGTCAAGCTGCAAAGCGAGCAATTAAGAATCTGACTTTAATGACACAAAATCGCGAAGAGAAAACAAAGACCATTGTGTCAGATGATGACGAAGACGAAAATAATCGTCCATGTTTATATTGTAACAGTTTGTACTCCCATTCAAGGTCCAAAGAATTCTGGATTAGGTGCCAAAAATGCTCAAAATGGGCACTGTGATTGTGCTGGTATCTCAAAATCGTGCAAAAAATTTATTTGTGAACTTTGCTAATTTAGTTTATATGACATTTTATCCATGTGAGTGTGTCGTTTTAGCCGAATATACTTGGATAAAATGACATAGCAACGTTTATTTTGTTTCCTTTTTTTAATTAAAAAATATTGTGTTGTTAGAGTTTTATGTTCCATGATCTGTTCTACTTCCAAACAATGAACAACATTTATGTTTTTTTTAATTTTTATTAAAAAAATAAAAAAGTAGTATGTCATTTTAGGCCAGGTTCCCCTACACTTCTGTGTCTTTAGTAAAAAAAAAATTAAATTTCTGATATGCTGTTTTGTTTTAACATTTCCAAGTATTGAAAATAGATATAGAACACTAAAAAATGTATTTATTGTTACGTGTGGAACGTCCTGCAGTTACTTTCCGTAAACCTCATAATTCATTAACCCAGCAGCGGTCGATCAGTTCCCTGCATAGATAATTTTACATTTTTCTTGGCAACAAGGCTATTGAATTTATATTTATTTCTTTATTTTGAAATTCACTCTGTAAAAAGCTCATTAGCTCGCTCAATCTTGTTTCTAAAGTTGTAACTTCTGCAGTTTCTCCGATATTTTCCATGGATACGGAAACAAGATGTAATAGTCGAATCATATGTTCTGGCAAACGTGACTCAATAAGAGGATACAATATCACCGCAAATTTGTCAGCAAGTTTTGTCTAAGGTCTCACGTGAAAGAACCTAGGCTACAAACTCTAAATAATTTTGTAACTCGATTGGAGGTAATTTAAATTTGCGCTTACCTTTTACACTTGATGACGCAAAGTACCTTGCACTGTATGTATCAGTTGCCTCTATCTCACTGATTAACTATTCTTCGGAAGCTTCTTCGAATATACTTTTAATTACCGCACTTTTCACTTCACAAAGCTCATAGTAGTTAACTTGTAAGACTTACAAGTAAAGCTAACAAACTGTCGAAAACATTAGCAATTTTCGTAAATGCACTATCCGAAATACCGCTCTGCGTTTTCTATCTGATTTCATTTTCCGACGTTAACTTTTGGCCGACCCTCACGGCAAAAACAAAACTATTCGCCGGAAAAAAGTTTGCACGAAAATAGGCGAAAACAACTAACTTCCCGTATATAAGTCCTGTCATATCCCGCAGTTGTCTTTCGCGAAATAATACAAAATTAAATTTTAAGTACAAAAAAATTTACTTTTGTATTAAATTACACAAGTGTGATTTTATAATACAGCTTGCTCTGGTTTTTAAAAAATTCGACTAAATAAAATATATGTATGCAATGCAATTCTAATACATATTATTAATATCGTCGGCGTAATTGTAAAATCACCTAACTCCAAAAAATTCGAAATTATTTTTTTTTCCATTTTATGAGGCCAGCTGTTTTGTGCAAACTCTTAAAAACACACAACTCTAAAAAAATTATTTCGAGAGATACATGGGATTTTACAAATCACCTATATTTTCGGTGCGATTTTTATGTTTGCAAACCTGCTATCTCCAGCCATTTGCATTGCATGGCAACATGGTTAAACACTGTGATGTTTCGCTATGAATAACTGTAGTTCTTTATATACGTGTTACTTGATTAATGGATTCTACTTTTGAAGTAAGCAATACAGTTTATTTTTAGTAAAGTTTAACGTAAGTCGCATTAACGTAGGCAATAAAAAATATTAAATTAACAATTACTGGAGTTAAGAGTATTGTTATCATATTACAGTTGAGGTTAGTTAGGCCCGAAATGGGAGTTAAGTGTTTTGAAAATAGATAGCTATAAACCGACTAATAGTTACATTATTATAGTAAATTTTTAAGTTGTTTAATGCTCTTAGTTTTTTTGTATGTTTGTACCGTCTCCACCAAGTATTAAATAATAGATTTCTCTCAATAAAATAATTAATATGGGAGTTATTGGTTTTTGTATTTATAAGGGTATGGAGTAAGGTAGAGGAAAAAGAAAAGTACTATGAGTCTTTAGATGAAACAATATCACAAATAGGCATCACACGAGAAATTGTGATTTTGGGAGACCTTAACGCCAGAACGGGCAGCAAACAAAACAATAAAGTTACAGGACCTTTCGGTGAAAACGTCTTAAATGATAATGGTAACAGACTGATTGAAGTATGCCAACGAAATTCACTTAGAATCACTAATGGATACTACAAACATAAAGATATCCACACCTATACATGGACACAATACACCAGAAACCTTAGATCAGTAATTGACTATATGATCATTAAACAAAAAACACAGCTCAAAGTGAATGACATAAGAGTATACAGAGGAGCAGAATGTGGCAGCGATCATCATCTAGTTAAAGCGAAAATATACATACCTAGATTTAGAAATGATAAGCATCAACAAAATGGAGCAGAAAATGACGAAGAGCTTACAAATATAGATATACCACACTACAATATTAATAGCTTGGAAAATCAAAGCACACAATATTTGTACAAGAGCAGATTGGATCAAGCTCTTCCTAGAGAATACGAACGAGAAACAACGGAAAATCTCTACAGAACAATAATAAATGGAATACACAAAGCGGCACAAGAAACTTTAGGTATCACAACGAAAAAGCGAGAAGTTAGAAATTACTGGTGGAATGATCAGCTAGAAGAAATGAAAAAACATAAACAGGAAGTATACCATAAGTGGCTAAATAACAGAGAAAACGAACAAAAAAAAAGTGAATATCAGCAAGCACGTAGTAAGTTCAAAACGGATGTAATAAACGCCAAAAATCAAAAATGGGAAGATAAATGTCAGGAGCTGGACACGTACATCGGAGGACGAAAATCTAGGGAAGCCTGGAGATTTATTAAAAATGTCAGAACTAACAAAAGAGAAGAAACTATGATAAACCCCATAACAACAATGAAATGGGAAGAGCACTACAAAACACTATTAGTAGAAAAAAGACCAGAATACAGTACCACATCACAAAACATAATCGAGATAACAGGACAGCCAATAAATATAAATGAGGAACATATCAAAAAGGCAATAACCTTATTAAAAAACGGCCGCGCCCCAGGTCCGGAAGGAATACCCGCAGAACTACTAAAAAATGGTACTGACAAACTAGCAAAAATAATAACAATATTATTTAACAGATATCTAAATGGAGAACCGGTACCACAGACATGGAAAGAGGGATGGATAACATCTATACACAAGAAAGGTAGTAAACAAGACCCAAATAACTACAGAGGTATTACCGTAACTAGCACACTAAGTCGACTATACGGAAGAATACTAAAAGACCTCATATGTGAAGAGTACCATCCATACGAGTCAGAGGAACAAAGCGGCTTTAGAGCAGGTAGATCCACAATAGACAACATTTTCTGTATAACCCAAGTAATAGAAAAGAGGCTGTCAAGAGCCCAAGAGTTGCATTTGCTTATGGTAGATCTAACAAAGGCATATGACACGGTACCCATTAATAGACTATGGGAAGTACTAGAAAAAACCAGCATAAATGTATCTATCATACAGGCGCTGAAAGAACTATATAGAAACTCGACATCTAAAATTAAAATTGGAAATAGAATATCCAAAGGTTTCCTCGTCACTAAAGGACTAAGGCAAGGATGCTGTGTATCGCCAGTATTATTTAATATATATATTGATGAAGCCCTGAGGCAGTGGAAGAAGAAGTGCAATGGAATGGGACTACCGATAGGAGATACGATACTCTATACGCTACACTATGCAGATGACCAAATTGTAATTGCACAGGACAAAGAAGATCTTGAATATATGACAAGGAAACTGATAGAGGAATACAGAAAATGGGGTCTGGAGGTAAACACCAAAAAAACACAATATCTATGTGTAGGCAGAGAAGAAACAGAGAACCTGAACCTGGAACAGGAGACAATTACAAGCTGTAAGGAATATGTATATCTGGGAATAAAACTAACGAGCACAGGACGAACCGAAAAAAATATTAAAGACAGAATAGTAAAGGGAAGACAGGTGATAGGAGCCCTGAATTCGGTACTGTGGCAAAAAAATATAAGAACAGAAAATAAAAAACGAATTTACAACACAATATTAAAACCAGTGTTAACTTATGGAGCTGAAGTCTGGCAATTAACTAAGAAATACAAGGATAAATTACTAGCCACTGAGATGGATTTTTGGAGAAGGTCAGCAAGAAGATCTAGATTAGAACACATAAGAAACGACGACATTAGACAACAAATGGAAATAGAAAGAACAATCATAGATGACATTGAAAGACAACAGCTAGTATGGTACGGGCACGTAAGACGAATGGAGGAAAGAAGAATCCCCAAGAAAGTGTTAGAATGGACCCCCACAGAAAAACGAAAACGAGGAAGACCAGTAACCACATGGATGAAAGGCATCTCCAAGGCAATGTCGGAACGAAATTTGAGAGATGAACACTGCCATAATAGAAAAGAGTGGCGATTAGGAACGGAAAGGCGTAGAACGCTATAAAACCGGTTTAATATATATATGGAGTAAGGTGATTTGTTACTAGGATGTAGGTGGTTTGCTTTCTAGTTTTGTACAAGTCACCAATTCATTTCGGAGTTAGTTGTTCAGTGTATTTATCATTTTACTTCTAATATGCTAAAAGTTAATTAAACAAAACTATTAATTCCAGGATGCGACGGAGAGCAGACCTGATTTTTGAGAAGCTTCGACAAGCAACGAACAGTAAAAAAAAGGGCTTGAAGATGTAAAAAGTAAAATGAAAATAAATGTGTCTGATGAAAACATTGTTCAGAAAAATGCAGACTCAATTACTGAAGGAAAACTTCCGCTAATGAAAACTTCAATAAAGGTTAAAGATCCTGAAAAAATAACTTTCTGTGGTTCAACAACTGTAAACACCTTTAATAATATTCTTCGAGATTCATCAGGAAATATATCAAAATATTCTTTTGCTGAAACACTTAACTCAAGTAGGCCTCCTGAAGACTCTCCAGTTCTACCTGAAATGAGTGAGAACACTTTCGAAGTATCAAATGAAATATATGAAACAACATCTTTAAATGCCATTGACCAAGATATTTGTATTAATATTAACGATTCGAATGATGAACCATTGATATTTATTGTAAGTAAAGGTGGTGAGTTGACACCAATTGAAACCATTGTAGAAAATAACACAACTTTACCGATATTGTCAAATGAAGTACACCTATTTAGTGGTAATGACTTTGATGAACTGTGTGTTTTCGGGAATGATCCACATGACACACGGTTTCAAATACGTGACACGTAAAGAGATAAAACCTCAGAACAATCTGAGATTATTGAAGAAAGCACGGCTATCCCAGAACAAATTAACGCTGAAGTAGACCTGGGGAGAGAAATAGAATTGGAATCAGTAGAAGAGGCAGTCAATTCCTCTGATTCTGCTAAAGTCAATAAAACAATCAACTTCAATAAAGAAAATCAAGATGAAACTGATTTTACCCTAAACCGAATACGGAGGAAGAGACACCAAGTTAAAGATGATGATTGGGAGTATAAACGAGCTAAAGTTTTAAGAGAGAAGGGTAAACAGTACAAAGGTCGAAGACTGATTGATGGTAAATCAAAATTTGTGGTAGAGAAACCTCCCAAACAAATGAAGCCCGTTAAATGTAAATGTAAGTTACCAACTTTTAGTTGTAGTCATTTGTCAGAAGATGACAGGAAACAGCAGTTCACAAAATTTTGGAATATGACCTGGAACGAAAAAAAAATCTATGTAGCAGGACTAACAGAAATAGATTTACCAGCAAGATCACGAGATAGAAAGGTAGAAAATGTATCAAGAAGAAAGTTTTCTTACAAGTTTTACCTAAGCTTTGATAAAAAGAAAATAAGAGTTTGTAGACAGACTTTTCTTGATACATTTGATATAAAAGGTTGGACAATTAACTGTTGGCTCAAGGAAAAAAATGATGAAAATGAATATAATTTAAATGAAGTGATAGAAAATGAGAATGGAATGGATAATATTATATTAAGCAACTCAGGTAAGAAACAGAAGAAGAATCGATCATCCAGACAAGAACAACTTATTGCTAAACAGAACAGCTTAAAAGAGTTTCTTTTGTCATTACCAACAATAGAATCACACTATTGTCGTAAATCGTCTACTAAACTTTATCTAGAACCTATTTGGGCTTCAAAAAGTGGGATTTACGAGCACTACAGTACAAAATGGTGCAAAGAAAAGAATATTGAACCTTTATCTCAATGCTCATTTCACAAGTCTTTTGAAGATTTAAATCTAGCTATATTTCAACCCAAAAAGGACCAGTGTGATTTGTGTAGGGCTTATTCAATGAAACATATAAGTGAAGAAGACTATCAATGTCACATAAAGAAAAAAGATGAGGCTCAGAGAGAAAAAGAAAAAGATAAAGCAGAAGAAGAATATGTCTTTACTATAGACCTTCAAACTTTACTACTATGTCCAAAGTCAAATGCATCCGCGCTCTATTATAGACGCAAACTTTCAGTTCACAACTTTTGTATTTTTAATTTGCGAAGTAAAGAAGGTTATTGTTTTTATGGAACGAGAGTGAAGGTAAACTAACATCAAACGAATTTTCAAGCATACTTTTCGATTTTCTTGAAAACAAAGTTCTCTCTGATAATCGTTCTGATATTCCTAAGAAATTTATAATTTACAGTGACGGTTGTACATTTCAAAACAGATGTGCTACAGTATCAAATGCATTGTTACATCTTGCAATAAAACATAAGGTGACAATTGAACAAAAAATTCTTGAAAAGGGCCATACGTACATGGAATGTGATTCTATGCATTCCGTTATTGAAAGGCATCTTAAAAATAAAGATATTAATGTTCCAGCAGATTATATCGCTATATGTAAAAATGCTAGAAAACATCCTAAACTAACCTAATCTAAAAACCTAACCTTACCTAACCTAACCTTATGAAGTGAAATATTTAGACTATTCCCTTTTTAAAGATTTCAGCAAGGGCATGAAGTATAAATCTATAAGACCTGGGAATAAAGTTGGCGATCCCAAGGTAACTGACATCAGGTGCCTTAAATATTCTACTGAAGGCAAGATTTATTTCAAATTAAATTACCAAGATAACTATGAAGAGCTTTTGCCTGATACAGAAAAAAATAAGGCTCAAAAGAAATCGACTAGAAATTCAAGTAAATTGAAAACTGATTCTGACGAAGGTAATAATGTTATTAACTTTAACTTCCACCCATTATACAAAGCCAGACAAAAGATACCACGAGAAAAATTTAACCATCTTCAAGAACTAAAGCTAAGTGTACCAAAGGTTTTCCATTCATTTTACGATAACTTACCAACTGAAGTGTAAGCGAGAATAGTTACAACTATTTTTAAAATCATGTAGCTCATTTTAAAAATCAATGTTAATTTTGATTAAGTATTTTTTATTTTGTTCAGTTTTTTGTATTTAAACTAAAGAGTATTGTTAGTTTCTTTGAAATGTTAAAAAGGTAGGCTCATACATTTATTGTTCTTCAGTTTACAGTTCCTAAGTGTTCTTATTTATATGTAGCTATTTTGTACTGAAAAACGCTTTGTATACCAATAATAAAAGAAGTGTTTAGATTAAAATAGCTCATTATTATCATTGAAGTACAATTTTACTATTAATCTAGTATTCATAAGCCATGTAACTTAACTTAGAAGGTACAATTATTATGTATCTAATCACCCAACTCCTACAAATAAAATACATAACTCCAGTAATTTCATTAACCCGTAACCGTTGACGTGGAGTCTGAGAGACTCTTGCGAAATTAAAAACCGGTTTAAAATATTGAAGCGGACGACTCTGGATGGCCTGCGGCTAAGTACCTTTCTAAAAATAGTTCATAAACCAAGCGTTTTTGTTTGATTAGTTTACGTTTAGCCGTTTGCGAGAACAGACGTTATTGGAGTCAGCGAGACTCAACGTCACCGTTAGTAACAACTGTTTATTTACAAATCAAATGTTAAATGTTGTAGTCGAATGGACAAATGTAAAATTGGCTAGTGTTAGGGTCAAATACAAAAATGAAAAGAGGCCGGAATTAAAAAATGTCGACCAGGTCGAAATGGAAGCATTTTAGGCTTACTAATTTACACCTCAGTATTTAAGTCCAATGATGAAGACATAGAATGTCTATTTGCTACAGATGGAACGGGCAGAGAAATTTTTCTATCCGTAATGAGTGCCAAGAGATTTGCAGTTTTATTGACTTGTTTACGTTTTGATGACCCTTCCACGAGAGAACAACGAAAAGCGGTAAATCCACTAGCACCAATTTAAAAACTATTTGAATCTTTTATTCAAAACTGTCAAACGGAGTTTTCTGTTGGTGAATATGTATGCATTGATGAAATGTTAGTTGGTTTCCGGGGTAGATCACGCTTTAGAATGTATATTCCAAACAAACCACGAAAATATGGACTTAAAATTATAATATTAACAGATGCAAGAAACAACTATGTGTACAATGCGTATGTATATACAGGCCAAGATTCCGACGGAATGGGCCTTTCAGTAACTGAGAAAAAGCTTGCTAAACCTACTCAATCTGTGTTACGGCTTTCTAAGCCATTATTTGGCAGTAATCGTAATGTGACAGCTGACAATTGGTTCACGTCTAAAGAACTAGTTCAGTTGTTGAAATCTAATGGCCTAACATATGTGGGAACTATGAAAAAGGTTAAAAGACATATTCCTCCTGAGTTTCTTCCTCAAAGGCATAGAGAGATTGGTTCAGTTAGATACGGTTTTACAAAAGACATTACCCTTCTTTCGTATGTTCCTAAAAACAAACAAAGCCGTCATACTATTATCCTCCATGCATCATAGTATAGCCATAGATGAAAAGCACAAAAACCAGAAATAATTAGTCTGTATAATATGACGAAAGGCGGCGTTGATGCTTTGGATGAAAAATGTACGGTTTACAGTTCGTCCAGAAGAACGCAACGTTGGCCAATGGCTATATTTTACAAAATACTAGATATGAGTACAGTTAACGCTTTCGTTATGTATCAGTGTTATAGAGAATCCAAACCCTTAGACAGGAAAGGTTTTATGAAGGTACTGGCTAAAAGCTTAATTGAAGCACACATGAAACAACGAATGTATAACAGCAGAATCCCGACAGAAATAAGAGAAAACATAAAGCGAATACTGTGCGTGGTTGAACCTCCTTCTATTCAAGAAGATCGGTTAGCAGTTCGAAAGTATTGCTACATTTGCCCATCAAAACTTCATAGGAAGACATCTTATTTATGCGTCTGTTGTAAAAAACCAATTTGCTTGATTTGTTCTCATAAAATATGCAGAAACTGTAACGTTCAAAAACAATAAAAAAATAATAATCCCATTTTTTTTGTCCTTATTTACCCCCTGCACGTTCCGTTACGTTTAGACTACTGATGATAATTTTTATTACCATAGATTATTCAATATTTGTTATACCTAATATTAAAACCATTTGTACATACCAAATTTAGAAATATGAAAAAAAAATTAAGTTTTCCGACGTAACACCGTACTTTATTTATTTGCAACTTTTGACAAAAATGTTAATAATAAGAATAGTCAGTAACAGAAAGAACTAAAAAGGCAATAGGATATTGCAAAAATGCCTAAAGAACAGATTATTATAAACAATGTGATAAAATAATTATTTAAATTTGAATGAGACCAGCATATTTATGATGAGTCCCGGAGACTCCACGTCACCGGTTATGTTCCTAAAATCGGACGTCACCGGTTACGGGTTAACCCGTAACCACAGACGTGACGTCTCAGAGGCGGAAAGCAAATGCGCATGTCTATAAATATCCCCACTACACACAACTAGGCCTCTGTAACTCTCTCTACCTTTTTATTTATCAGTTGTGACATAGTTGTCGAAATTTGAGGTGCAGTGTTTATTCGGTTTAGCTGTAAAACAATTTTATCTGCGTCGAGGTGTCTAAGTGACGTCAGGTCTGTATAAGTGTAACATTTCTTAGAAGTCATAAGACTAATAAATTTTGATTTTAGGTGTTTCAATGGCTGACAAAAATTTACCTGGGCCTTCTAAAGGGGCAAAAGCCGTTAAATTTATTGATCCTCGATATGAAGAAACTCTTTTAAAATGGACTGAAGAGCTTAGCGACGTCACCGATTCCGAAAGTGATGGAGATTACATTCCAAGTAAAGATGACTCAGAAAGTGATACAGAAGACGATGCTGTAAATTTTGTAGAAATAGATGAACATAATAATCAAGACTTTGACCACATGTCAAGCGAAGAAGATTTAACATTAGAGAAGAAAAAATATTATTATGGAAAAAATCGCTACAAGTGGTCTTCCCAACCTGCAGTAAATAAGAACAGCCGCACTGCAAAACACAATATTTGGATCAGATGTCCAGTATTACTAAATTGCAACGATAATAATAGTGATCCATTAAATTCCTGGAACCTACTGTTCTCTGATGAAATACTGGAAACAGTCGTACGTTGGACTAATGTACATATGCCAAAATAAGAAGAAAATATTCGCAACATACCAGTGATCTTCGTGACTTGGACCTTATAGAATTTCGGGCTTTTATTGGTGCTCTAATGTTAACAGCCATTTTTGAATCCAATCATGAGGATATCAGATCCATATTTGCGACGGACGGATCAGAACGAGGCATATTCTGGTGCATAACTAATTCCAACAGGTTTGCTATTATTCTCACTTGTCTGCGGTTTGATAATACTGATACACGAACTCAGAGAAAAGTAACTGACCCTATAGCCGCTATTTCTGATATTTTTGACATCTTTATCCATATTTGTCAGTTACGATATTCAATTGGATCCAATGTATGCATTGACGAAATGTTGGTATCATTTCGTGGGCGCTGTAAATTTAAAATGTATATGCCCAAAAAACCTTGCAAATATGGTTTAAAGATTATGGCCCCCTGTGATGCTAGATCAGGATATTTATTAAATGCCTATATATACAGTGGTAAAGACAGTGATGGTAGAACTTTACCAAATGAGGAGAAACAGTATTCAAAACCGACGCAAGCTCTGCTTTGCCTTACTAAACCAATTTTCGGTTCTAACAGAAATGTTACAGCTGATAACTGGTTTTCATCTATCGAAGCTGTAAACGTTTTAAAAACAAAAAAATTAACGTTTGTTGGAACACTAAAAAAGAACAAACGTGAAATTCCACCGGAGTTCTTGCCTAGACGAGATAGAGAAGTAGGTTCCAGTTTGTATGGTTTTACGGAAGACATAACATTATTATCTCACGTTCAAAAGAAAAACAGAGCAGTACGCTTGTATCTTCCATGCACCATTATGAAGTAACTGACCTAGATACATCTAAGCCTGAAATAATTGCAGATTATAATACAACAAAAGGATGGGTAGATTCATTGGATGAAAAATGTGCCACATATTCTTGCAGTCGAAGAACAAGGCGTTGGCCAATGGCCATATTTTACAGAATGTACATCAGCTTGGTAAACTGTTATATATTGCATCAATCATTTCGAGATAATGTAAAATTGACAAGATATGAATATGTGAAACAATTAGCTATACAACTGGTAACGCCTGAGTTACAGCGCCGGTTTAATAATCCTCGGATAAATCGTGAAGTAAGAATGTGTATAAGCCGAGTATTGGGAATACAAGAACAGTTTCCAATTGTCAATGAAACAAAACTGGAAAGAAGAAAGACCTGTAGAATATGCCCTGCTGTTAAAAAAAGACAGACTTTTTATATTTGTTTGCAATGCAGGAGACCAATTTGTCTTGAGTGTTCCAGAAAAATATGTGTAGATTGTTCGACATAAATGACAAGTTGGAGCCTTGCAGTTTTTGTGATGTTAGTGTTTTATTTCATACTAATGGTTTTTATGTTGAGAACAATCCTTTATCTTTCCCTAATTTTCACAAAAATTTTTTTGTTTCATATTTTCTCTTTCAATTTTACAATTTTTTTGGACCTCCTTAAATATGATCCTTTTTTATTGGTATTGAAATAAACGTATTTTTTTGTAATTCTGTTTTATTTACGAAATTTTAAACATACATTAATTTAATCACAATAGGTGCATACTTCATTTGAGACATCTACTGCTTAAAAGTCATTACCGTTTTTTCTCTTACTTAACAAAACTGAGGTACGTCCCGGAGACGTCACGTCTGTATGTATGTAATAAGTGTTACACGTCTGTAGTTACGGGTTAAGCAAAATCCATAACTCCGAATGTAAATCACCTAACTCCAGGCCTCTTAATTATCAAAACACAATACTCCAAATAATCCCCCTTGTACATATTAATTTTTGTTAAATCTTATTTAAAGATATTCTGTAAAATTACAAACAAACAATTAAAAAAAATCCGCAAAAAACTTCCTATAGCAGCGTTTAGACGGTCAATATTACTGTCAGTATTTAAAATACTGACAGTAATATTGATCGTCTAAACAGAGTATTGACGTAATGATGTGCGATACTGAAGAATGACCGAAAATTCCATCAATAGCAGCGTCAATACTAATTATGGAGGGGATATTGTCAGTAATATTGATCGTTTAGGTTAAACGTTCGGTTCATTCTTCACTCTTCAGTATCTGATTGTGTTTTTGGGAGTGTGCTGCGTTGTTGTGTTATATAGTGTGTTAAAAACGATTCAGTCATGGGCGATGAACAAGAAAATAATAGTTCAGTTCCTAAGGAAGATGAAAAGAATCCTTTAAAAGAATTTATTGAAGCACTGGAAGTTCTTCCAGAATTATGGAACAGCAGCGATCCGTCGTATATGAAAAAGAACAAGCGTATTAATGCTTTGGAGAAGTTATTAGATATTTAAAAAAAAAACAAAAGCAGATGCCACTATAGATGACGTTCGGAAAAAAATAAGTACACTCCGTTCTAATTATCGGAAGGAGCCGAAAAAAATTACAGAATCGAAAAGAAGTGGTGCAGGGGCAGACGATCTATATTCACCCACATCCTGGGTATATTATGCATTACAGTTTCTGGATAAGCATGAGAAACCACAAACTAGCCAATCATCAATAATTGAAGAGGAAGTTGAAGTGCCAATAACAACACAGGTTAGTAGTGATAATTAGTTTTATTTGGAAGTCACACATAGTATGTAGGTATATAATTTAAGACAAAAAATTAATTTAAGTTAAGTTCAATGTATTGCTATTAAAATATGCACAGTACAAATCTCTTACGGCTTTGGCATCTAGACGTGAATTTCTAACTGAATTTGCACGCAAATTTATTCCTAAATTAAGTATCTCCTTTTCAGTTCTATGAGACTGATAAGGAAAAGATGAATGACTCGTTAAAAAATTGTGCAAGTAGCAACAAGCCAATGTAACTATTGTTGCTTTTTCTGGTGAAAGCCCAATAGCCTTTTGAAAAATTCCAAACCTAGAAGCTAAAATTCCAAATGCATTTTCTACCGCGCATCGTGCAGCTGATAAACGAAAATTAAATATTTCTTGTTGTCTGCTGCAATTTTTTTGAGAATACGGTTTTAAAAAATTTGGATGTAAAGCAAATGCTTCATCAGCTACGAAGACGTATGGGAAATGTTCGTGTGAATTGGGTAACTGGGTTGCAGGTGGAATATTTAATTGGTTATTTTGAAATAATTCCCAGAATTTGGTGTAAAATAATACGCCACCATCCGATACTCTTCCGTTAGCTAATACATCTACCATTATAAACTGCCTATCGGCATTAACTAGGGCCATTAAAACAATGCTATGATACCCTTTATAATTGTAATATGTAGAGGCTGAATTATCTGGCTTTCGTATCGCAATGTGCTTTCCGTCAAGTGCTCCTATACAAGTTGGAAAATTACACTTTTTTTCAAATTGTCTTGCAATATTTTTCCATTCTTCATTAGTGGATGGAATCTAAAAAAATAATTTTTATTGTTTTAGCCTGAACAGTTTTCGACACCATCAACATCTTCAAAAAATTCATTGCTTCAAGAGCAATTATCAAAACCACAAAAGAGAAGGCATAATTCGGATGATAACTCTACGAAACAAAGTGAACTTTTATCTTTAGCATGTAGCTATTTATCAAAACAAGGTAATAATGCCAACTTATACATTGCCAAAGTTTGGGCTGCAAAATTAGAAAAATTACACCCAAAACAAAAATTATTTGCTGAAAAAGCTATTAACGACATACTGTTTGAAGCAGAAATGGGCCAACTTCAACGACATTCTGTTCGAATAAATGAATATTTACAAACTCCACCACCAACATCAAACAGTACTCTACATACATTTAATTTAGAATCAGGTGAAGATCGTGAAGAAACTGCTATTTCCTCATTTTTTCACACTTTTAATGGTTCAATAAATTAAGCATACATAAATTATTGTATTTTATTTCATTTACTACACTTACCTTTATATAATTGCTTAAAACTTGTATTAAAACTTGACAAGTTTCAAGTACAATTTCACTTATACTTGATGGAGACATTAGTGCAGAAAACTTCATATCCTGAAAAGTTCTTCCTGTTGCCAAATATCTTAAAGTTACTGCTAGTCTTTCTTTTGGAGGAATTGAATTCCTCATCACAGTTTCTTTTTTTTTTAATGAAAGGTGTAACCATTTCGAGGAGCTGATTATATAACTCTTCTGACATACGATAATAATTATGATAATCCTCTGTATTTTTAATTTTTATTTCACCTAAAAGATTTACGTGCGTCACCTGATCTCTTTTTTTCAACCAGTCTTTCATCCAAATTCGTCTTTTTTTTTATTTTTTCTTTCCTACAGCAAACATGCTTCGTCCATAATCGTGCGAATTTGCTTGTCGACAGAAAAGTACTGATGAAAATAATGTCAATATTACTGATCGTCTAAGGTGCACAAAAATATTGATAAACATCTTCAATATTTACATCAGTAAATACTGACAGTAATATTGATCGTCTAAACGCCGCTTATAAGTTTTTAGAGAGCAAGTTTTTTGTGCCTCCTGTAAAATTAGAAATAAGTGAGTTAGGTGATTTTACAATTAGGCCGACGATTACTCATCAATCCATTCTCAGACGGAAAAGTCGTAAAATTTAATTATCTTACACCAGCACTTAGCGGATGTGCTGATTAGGGATTTTTTTAAGTAAACATATTAATTACTTGACATTTTTTTTTGCTAATACACATACACAAAACGTTCATTCATTTGGAAATATTTACGACAATTCTGAATTCTTTATCTACCCAAAAATATTTATTCCAAACTGATAAAGAAATTTGCAATTGTTTGAAAATCTAAAATACGTTTACTTTTTTTCATATCGAATGTTCAGAAAATTTCAGATTTTCATCTGATTTCTAATTATGACTCAAGTAAATTTCAATAATCTTTTTCATTTACGGAAATAATTAATTGACAAAATTTAATCAATGATTACATTATATTGTTTGGTCTATAAAAATTAAATTTGCCAAAACGTGAATGAAACTGGAATTACTGGTATACTTGTATTTTTAAAACACTGTGACGTTATGCAATCATGATTGATAATTGACAGTCAAACGAAGCCAAACTATTATCTGGTAGGGGCCGCTTCGCCAAACCCAACCATGTGATTCGTATTACCATGGTTACTGCACAACAAATAGACAATTGGCATAACCACAAAACTAAGTTTCAATGTTTTGCAAGTGGCTCTAGTTTGTCTTCCTCCATTGTCAATTTTCAAGTCAAGAACTTCATGATTGTTGTCATTTTGCTCATTACCTTCTATAATTTGAAGTAGTGGAACTCTTGACCTAATACACATGTTGTGAAGAATACAACAGGCATTGACAAGTATGCATACCTTTGGTGGCTCATATCTTAACTCTCTTTCACCCAAGATATAACGGAATCTTGACTTAAGAACTCCATTTGTTCTCTCTATATGATTTCGCCCTGAGGCGTGGACTTGATTAAACCGTTCTTCAGGTGAGTTCGGTTGGGCTCCTGGCACAGGGGTCATAAGCCACGGTTGTTGGGGATAGCCTGAGTTACCTAGCAACCATGTGTTTCGATCTCCATTTTGGTAACTATTTTGCAAATAAGCTTTAATGACACTTTGTTGCCATATATAGCTATCATGGCAACTTCCAGGAAAACTACTGTTGACATTTAAAATAAACATATTTGTATCACAAATTAATTGAACATTCATCGAATGATAGCCTTTTCAATTCAAATATGCATGTTCTTCTGCCTTTGGTGATATTATAATCCTAATATATACCAGGAATCCCACAATATTGGATCCACTCATTTCCAAAATGGCCAACTATAACTGATGCTACCTCTTCAATGCATCTACTCACCATTGGTTGACTGACAGCTACAAGATATTCTTGTCCTTTGGTAGAGTTGTATATGTTGTATGTCTAACTCATGTCATGTCACTTGCTATTGTTGTATGTTTTACTGATGACTTGTCACTTGTCATGAGACACGAGATTAAACCTCATGTTAAGTCTATAATAAAGAATTGTGGTGTAGTGTAAATCTGTGTTTTACTGGCCTAAATACACAACAGTAATTTGGCGACGAGATTACTGCTACTCACGCAATTGTAGTAACATGGTCTTTATAGGACAAATCGAACCTTTCAAATCCAGAGAGGATGACATAACCACATATTTGGAAAGAATGGAGCAGTTGTTTTTGTGCAATGAGGTAGGAGACAAAAAAAGGTACCATTGTTCCTTACATTAGTGGGAAAAGAAGCGTATAAAACTATAAAATATTTAACTGCTCTAGAAGTCCCAAGTACAAGAATTTATTCACAGTTGAACTCCACTCTGTTAACACACTTTAGTCCAAAAAAAGTTAGTAATAGCCGAAAGGTTTGTCTTTTATAATTGCCACCAGGAATCTCATGAAAATCTCACATAGTTTGCTGAGAAATTAAAAAGTTTATCTAAAGACTGTAGTTTTGGCGAATTTCTGGATGATGCTCTTCGCGATAAGTTCGTCTGTGGGCTAAAAGCTGAAAATATCAGAAAACGATTGTTATCAGAAGACAATTTGACATACCCTAAAGCACTGCAAATAGCTTTAGCAATAGAAGTAGCAGAAGGGCAAGCTAAGTTAGTAGAAGCAGATGTAAACAAAGTATGTAAAGTAAATTTTTCAAGTAAAAAGTCCAGTAAGGCTACGGTTATATTGGACGCGTACTCTGACGACTAACAAGTCGGACGTACTCGTGCGTAGTCGGACGATAGAAACAAACACGGGCAGATAAATAGGAACGGTTATATTGAATAAGTACTAGCCGTAAGTTTATGCACGTTTACGGACGACTAATTTAAAAATACAAACTTGTTTGTTTTTTTCCTGTGGCAACGTGCGTCTGAAAATGGATCTTGAAAAATTAATTTTGGGTGTATTTGAAAGAAAGTCATTATGGGACCAAACTAATAAAGATTATCACAACCGAGATATGGCTCGTAAGATGTGGATATCCCTGGCGAAAGAAATGAGTGAAAACAGTAAGTATATGTATAGATATTTGCATTATTTTTAATCTAATATTTACTTAATACATATTAAAGTATATTATACTATTTAGTATCGTCAATAATTAAATTACGTATATGCATTTTATATTATGAGAGGTTAAAAACGATCATATTGAAATGGAACGGACCCAGCGTTACTATTAAAATAGGTTTTAAAAGCATCTCTAATATCATATGCTTGTTGATTTGCTCTGTTGTTTATTCTTGATCTATTTGGTTGGTGCGTCCCCATAGTTGCCACTGTTTCTGAAAGATTGAATTCCTTTATACCTTCCTGGTCAATAACAATGTTATGAAGAATACATGTACATTTTACAATTATATCAACTTTGTCGGGGTAAACTTCCATTTCGTTTTTTAATACTCTCCATTTGGACGTTAATATCCCAAAAGCACATTCCACCATTCTTCTCGCTCTTGAAAGTCTATAATTAAATACTTCTTCTTCCTGCAAATCTCTTTTGGGATAGGGTCTCATTAAGTAGGTTTTGAGAGAATATGCGTCATCACCAAGAAGGACATACGGAAGTACCAAATTACTTTGTGGAAGTGCTCTATCTTCTGGTAAATTTAACGACTTATTTTCAAGATGTTGATATAGCGAACTATGTGAAAAAACACCTCCATCGCTTTGTTTTCCAAAAGCCCCAATATCAACGCAGGTAAATCTGTACTTTGCATCTGCAACTGCTTGAAGTACTACAGAGAAATATCGTTTGCAGTTATAATACATGGATCCCGAATTAGAGGGACATCGTATTCGAATATGTTTGCCATCGATACATCCTATACAATTCGGAAAATTCCATTCATTCAAAAAATCATTGGAAATTGATCGAAACATGTCTTCTGTTGGAAAAGGCATATGCCGTTCATAAAAAGTTTCCCATATGATGGTGCACGTTTCGTAAACAATTAATCTTATAGTTGTGTGAGACATTCTGAATGAGAACGCCAAAGAGCGAAAAGCGAGTCCAGTGGAAAGATATTTAAAACAACAAACAAAATGAATTAATTATTTTAAGACAATAATTATTGATAATTGTTATTATAATTATAGATAATTGTTTTAGATAATAATTATTGGCGCAGACACACACACTTTAAAGATGAATTTTAGCTTATTAATTTTGTTTTAATTCACCGTAAAACGTATTTAATTTTTCATTTTCTAAAACATACTATTTACTTCTTGACTTTTAGGTGATGTACTCAAATCGAAATGGCGAGGATTAAGAGATAACTTTAGAAAAGAACTAGCAAAAACAAATAAAGGGCGATCCGGAGATTCTGGTGAAATATTAGTAACATCAAAATGGCCTTATTTCACAATGATGCTTTTCCTAAAAGACAACATGACCCAACGAAATGCTACAGGAAATATTCCTCCTCTCAATAACCAAGAAAATTTATATGATAAAAACACTACGCCAGATACAATCTCTGAATCTGATTATGATAGAAATCATAATTATGAATTAAATTCAGATCCAGAATTAAATACTGAAATTATTTTCACTACGACACCCAAGGCTGCTAAAATAGCTCATACAGATAAGGAAACGGGTACAAAGGGGAAAAAAGCTAAATCTTCGATATATGAAAAAATGGTAGCTATAGAAGAAGAAAAACTTAAAGCATACAAAGAAAAGTGTAAGGAAAGGCCAAAGGAAGAAGATAGTGACTTCCATTTCTTCATGAGTCTGATGCCGTACATGAAAAAAATACCCGAAGACCAAAAATTGTCAGTACGAATAAAAATACAACAAGTTCTTTTGGAAGCCCAACAACATGCTCAGTCTGTCTGGACAAGAACTACTACAGTGGATCAAAAAATCGATCAAAGCAGGCATCAAGTGGAAATACCATCAGATTCATCAGAAAACGAAGTAGGATGTCCAGGTGTGCGAGAATATTTGTATAATTTTCAGTAGTGTACTGACTTTTTTAGTTTATTTTAGTTTTTATATCCTAACTTCATAAAAAGTATTTGTTTTTTTAAGTTTGTATGAAAAATAAATTTAGTTTAATAAATAATTTCATAAGTAATGACTTACCTTAATGTTAATGCCAGTTTTTCTGCTGGTTGAATACACTTTCTAAAGTTCGACTGTTTTTCCAGTCTTTCGGAAATATGAGACAAAATATAATTAAATGTTTCAGGTAACATTCGAAAATATTCAAAAAACTTCTGTGGTTGGCGTAACAAATCATTCCATATTAAGTGAAACTCACCATTTTCTTCTCTATTTCTATATATATCATTTATCCATACTCTTGAGTTTTCTAACATCAAAAGACGTACAAAATTATTTTCTAATAAATATTCTTCATCTTTGGCCATGTTTTCTGAACACATAGTCGCAGTTAAACGCTTGCAATCCGACCACCTAGTCGCACTACCAATGTCGTCCGTTTATATCCGACTGATTGGTCGTCAGACCACGCGTCAAATATAACCGTAGCCTAAGTTCGATAAGCACCCAAATCAAAGTAACGTCAAGCCTGATAATAGAGAGGAGCGTTGGAAGTCTTGTCCCAAATGTGCAAGGAGACATAACCCTGCAAATTGTCCTGCGAAAAATTGGGAATGTTTTCATTGTCACAAGAAAGGGCACACCAGTCGTGTCTGTAAAAGAGTCAACTATTTAGAAGGTCCAGAAAATCAAGAAAATTCAGCAGCAGGTTCGGCATCTAGTAATGACTCATCGGAATTAAGTTTCATTGGACAGATTCATAGTAAGAATGAAAAACCCCATAGAGTAAGTCTCAGTGTAGAAAATACAAGTCTAATATTTGAGATTGATTCAGGTGCCTGTAAATCTGTAATGCATTTGTCAGATTATAAAAAACATTTTGGCTTTTTGAAACTTTTTCCGGTAACTTATAGTCTTAAAGTAGTAACAGGGGATAATGTCAGAATAGTAGGAGAAATTGATGTCGCGGTAGTCTATAAAAACTGTACATTTTATTTACCTATTGTTATTTTAGAGTGCCAGTACAAGTTCAATCCACTGTTAGGAAGAAACTGGTTGAGTATCCTGAACCCAGACTGGAAAAATATACTTCAAATATGCCAGGAGTCTAAAGAGTCAATTCAATGAAGTTTTTAAAGATCAGCCAAATTCATTTATTAGGAATTTTACAATAGATTTACCAATTAAAGAAAATATCAAACCAAGTTTTCATAGGGCCTACAGTATGCCCTATGCATTAAAACCTAAAGTTGAGTCAGATATATCAAAATAAAGTATTAGATGCCGATCATTGTGTTTTAGATGCCAATTAAAAGTAAGTAAACAGTCTAAAGAACTGTTAACTATAAACACTCATATGGGTCTTTTTACATTTAGCAGGTTAACGTATGGAATTAATGCTGCACCTGGTCTTTTTCAGACTGTTATGGATAGTATTTTAGTAGGATTGGAAAAAACTAAATGTTATCTAGATGATATGCTTGTGTATGGTGACACCTTGGAAGAATTCATAAAAATGTTTATAAGGTATTTGAGAGATTGTCAAAGTTTAATGTCAAGGTAAATAAGAAAAAGTGTATTTTTTATGAGACTAGTATTGAGTTTTTAGGGTATAGAACAGGGACGTATTTATGGGGGGTTTAGGGGGTTCAAACCTCCTCCTTGCAGTCCATGCAAAACTATTACTTTTTTAATCCAATATCCTTACATGTATAAAAAATAAAAATAAATTAATGAGTCAGCGCACGGATGCTGTCGGTCCGCAGTAGCAGCGTAGATACAGATAAACTAATACCTATTAGAATTAGAACGCTATTAGTAGTTATATCACCGTACACCTATTCCAAATAGTAGGTTCACTCTTTTGATCTCGGCTCTCGCCGAAAGATTTTTTGCCGGTAGTCATAAATTATATTGAACGCTCCGCAAATACAATGAACGGTGCCTGAACGATAGAAATTTAGAGAGGACTGACTGGTGAGAATTTGATAGGTACGGGGCGTGAGACGACGGGGGCAGGTAAACCGGCGCTAAATCGAGAGTGACCCAACTTATTTTATCACTGAACGGTGATTATATATGAGTCGCAGTCTAATAGTGCTGTCTAGCATGGTTACCAGATCTCCTGTTTTAACAGGAGATCTACTGTTTTCATACTTCTTCTCCTGTTCTCCTGTTTTGAATCTCAAATCTCCTGTTAAAATTTCCACTATAGTATGATATATTGTTATTACATTTTGACACACTATTTGGTACAATTTGAGATTATTTAGCGTTTCAGACAAGTTTAAATATTAAATTTTGTGAAATCTGAATTTAAATTCAACTTGCTCTTGCTTCATTTCTATTAGTTACTGTTATCGCCATCTGTGTAGAAACAACGCAATCTACACCCAATATTTATATCATGTTTTCTGGATAAAATTTCACGCCAAGCACGCCAAGATCTAGAGAATTAATTTAGGGATTTGTAATTTCCTTGTAAATATCCGTAAGCTCGTCAAGAATTGCAATGTCCGCAATGTCTCTGAGTTTTGACAAGAATATAAGTTTGGAGGGGAGGATCTGTCAGTAGCTGTGTTGCCAATGTCCGGATAATTATCCGATTTTCGGATAATTTCGTGGACCATCGGATAATTTTTGGGATTGAACAATTTTTTGGATAATTTCGGATAATTCAAGGGTCTGATTATGTATGTAAACAATAAGTATTTTTAATATAGGTTTTAAGAGTACCTAAATAATTTGTTAGTTTGCTGTATTTATGTATTATTTGTTCTTTTTTATTTAAATAAATATATTTATATCAAACTAAACTAGTTTTCTTGTCATTTGTCATATTAATTTTAATTTTCATTTATCAGCTACGAATGATTCAATAGGTTTGTTCGTACAGACAAATTTCCAACCGGTTGGAAATTACACACTGCGCAGGTATGATTGGAAACTGTAAGAAACTAGTTGCAAATTTTGATGCTCTGCGAACGGATAATTTGGTCTGTCAATTTTGTCAAAATTGACAGAAGCCAAACGGTGTTCGACAAATGTCAATATAGAAAAGTTATAACAAAATAGACGCTAGACGTATTATTGATTATTAAACAAACGATTCTTTACTTATGTATTTTGAAAAATGGACGAAATCCACAATTTGTAATTCTTCCTACTGATCATGATTAACCACGGGCCATTTAAGGAAATATTTCAGAGAGTGAAGATGTAAAAAATTTATGTGGACAACAAACTCCACTCTGTTACTCCTAGAGATGTACAAAGAGTTCAGAAATTTAGTGGGTACAGTAAAAGTAAAAAATTGCAAAAAAATGTGGCGATTAATTGCAAACAAATTAAAAGAAAATTTTGGCATATCCACTTCTCCCTCTCAATGTGAGAATAGGTGGAGAGTAGTTGAACGAAATTATAAGAAGTTTGTGGATAATAAAACCAGACAGGAGCAGGCCGGAGAGAGTTCGAGTATTTGGGACCGATGGAAGAAATTTTTGGGTAAAAAAAAAAATATTTCACCTACAGTTTTGTTGTCGACTTCAACAAAATCAAATATTTTAAATCCTGTTTTATCAGAAGAATCGCAATCAACGGAGCCTGCAATAGAACCCATGGTAGTGGAAACTGAAAATGCTGGTCCTTCTAAGATCCAAAGAAAACTAAAAGTAGTTACCAGAAACAGGAAAAGTGCTGGGAAAAATAGTGAAATATTAGAGATGATAAGAAAAGAAAAACACCAAAGGCATAAAGAAAAATTAAATTTTGAAAGGAGAAATTTGAGAAATTATATCAATTAGAAATTAAGAAACAAGAGGCAAAAGAAAAAAGAAATATTTTAATACAAGAACAAATAAAAGTACAAAAAGAGACAAACCAGCTTTTATTTTTGTCTTTTACATAATTTTGGTTATTATATTACAACACTAATCTCAGTTGATAGTAATAAAAAATTTAAGAAGGAAATCTTACTAAGAGAAATGATTTTATATACAATATTCCAAAAATTTTACTACTTTGGCTTATAAATAAATAGTAAAATATACAATGATGTACATGGTTGTCAAAATAGTATTACAAAAAGCCTGTCAAAATCAGGATGTTGAAAGTAAAAGTGTAAATAAATAATGTAATAAGAGCAAAAAGCCCAAGGAAAAAAGTAGTGAATAATGTCATATAAAGAGGGTAAAACCCAATGACAGTAAAACCAATGAGTTCATAAAAGGTTTTTGATCACAAATGCCAAATGTCGCTGTCAATAACAATTTGAACTAATTTTGAAGATATCAGATCTACTATTTCGTTTTACCTTAGTGTTTTATGGTTATACCCAGAATAACTATTCCGCTGTCGATTTCACAATATAGAACCCTTGAAAGGTTATACTTGGAATAAACTCAAGTATAAGTTATACTCAGAATAACTATTCTCCAATTTATACCTGGATTGTAGAACCGGCCCTAAAACATCGAAAGCGTGAAAAGCTTTACATATCTAGGTTCACTAGTTACCATAGATAACAATATCAGTGAAGAAGTTAAGAGAAGAAAACATATCGCTAATAAAACATATAATGGACTAGTTAAACATCTAAGATCTAACACCACAAGAAAAACTGAATGCAAAATATACAAGACCCTGATAAAACCAGTCCTTGTATATGGATCAGAGATGTGGACACTCATTTGAATGAAAAATCCTCAGACATATATAACGGGGTAAAGGAAAATGACATATGGCGCAGAAGATATAACTTTGAACTATACACAGCAAACAATGAATCCGAGATCATAACATCCATAAAGATCAGATGTCTGCGATGGATGAGCCATGTTGAACAAATGTTGGAGACTAAAACGCCAAAACATACAATGAGGCAAACACCAGTAAGGAGAAGGTCAAAGGGAAGACCCAAACTTACATACATGGAACAAGATCTGGAAACACTTATGATTACCAACAGGAAAAACAAAACAAAGAACAGAACAGAATGGAGGAAAATCCTAGAACAAGACAGGACCCAGAAAGGGTTGTCGAGCTACTGATGATGATGAATATTAGTTAAACGGTAGAATGTTTACAATTTCATTTCTCCTTTCAAAACCTTCTCTACGTTCAACATTTTCTGCTGGTCTTATATAATCCATGCCTTCCACATAATCTTCAACAACAGCTGCATCGTCTGGAGCGTCTTGATTTCTGTCTGGAAAATCATCTTCTAGCCCCAGATTGTGTAATACACAGCAAGCTCTAATAAAATTGGCAATATCATGATCATCCCTTAATTTTAAGTGATATAACTGGCGAAATTTTTGTTTCATGACTCCCAAGCAGTGTTCAACTACAATACGAGTTTTTGATAAGCGATAGTTGTAATTGTGTTGTCTTGCAGTTAGATTACCTAAATCTTTAAATGGAGTTAGTAAATTTTTTTACACGGATAACCACTGTCTCCTAAAATATAATTATTGCCACATTTTTGAGGTAGAGTTTGGCCAAGAGGAGAAGCATTAAAGACTCTACTGTCATGCACTGACCCAGGAAATCCAACCATAACATCTGTGATTTTTCTTCTATGGTCACAAACGATCTGAAACTATAATTTATTTATAAATAATTTATTTATATAGATAATATTAACATAATGTTTCTAGGGGAATATCAGGCAGGATTCAGGCCTGGACGTTCAACCATTAACCAGATCTTTACACTACGACAGATCCTCGAAAACGCGCAAGAGTTTAACATAGATATGTATCATATTTTTGTCGATTTTAAAGCGGCATATGACAGTGTCTTAAGACCAAGTCTTTACAACGCTATGAATGAGTTAGGAATTCCAAAAAAACTAATATGTTTGATAAAAGTGACAATGGCGAAGATGCTATCAGCAGTAAAAATTCAAAACGACTCGTCAACCCCATTTCAAATACATAGGGGTTAAGGCAGGGAGATGCGCTGGCGTGTCAGCTTTTTAATGTCGCCTTAGAAAAAGTTTTACGAGACGCTAATTTAGATAGCAGGGAACAATATTTAATAGATCAGTCCAAATTCTAGCATATGCAGACGACGTGGACATTATAACAAGAACTAGGGCGAGAACTGCGGAAATCCTAACCGAGCTAGTAGCAGCAGCAGAACGAATGGGGTTACATATAAATCAAAATAAAACCAAATTCATGGCGACTAACACAAACACAAGAGCTGGAAATGTTGACACAAATTTAATCATCAATGACCAAAACTTCGAAGCAGTCAATGAGTTCATATATCTAGGGACATCGGTTAACCCCAATAACAATACATCTGAGGAAATAAAAAGGCGGATAATAATTGCAAACAGGTGTTATTATAGTCTATCAAAGTACTTAGCTAACAAACGTATGTCTCAAAAAACTCGTATAAGGCTGTATAGAACACTGATAGTCCCCGTTCTCACATACGGATCAGAGGCATGGACGCTAACGAAAACAGATGAATCCGCTCTATCCATTTTTGAAAGAAAGGTGCTAAGCAAAATATTTGGAGCGGTCTGTGAGAACGGAATATGGAGGCGTAGATATAACTTCGAACTGCAGAATATCTACAAGCATACGTATGGTGGTAAAGATATTACCACTGTAATTAAGCGAAACCGCCTGCAGTGGGCAGGACATGTAGCCCGGGCCCCTGAATCGAACATGATAAAAAAGATTCTAACAGCGCAACCTGTGGGATGAGACGACGGGGTAGACCAAAGCTGAGGTGGATGGATGGGGTAACACAAGATGCGGAGAAGATCGGAGTCGGCAACTGGAAAATTCAAGCAAGGGACAGAACAGAATGGCGTAGAAAGCTTGAGAAGGTCGAGGCCCTTTAAGGGCTGTAGCACCAAGATGATGATGAATATTAACATACCTGCATTGAATAATATCCTTTTCTGTTTAAATAAGAATCCGAATCTTCATTATAGTATAGAGAAAGTGTCTGTGAAGTTAGCTACAAATGAAACGTCAAATTTGTGTTTGCGGTATTGCCATGTCCTTATTATTTATATGTTTTATGCCTCAAATATTCTTTGAAACCGTACATTTTTAATATATTTTATGGAATCAGGTATTTTTTTTTAATTTCTAAATTTATATTAAACACGAACGAATGAATATTTGTTTCTTTTGATATTAGTTGCAGTTTGGTTATTAGAAAAAAAAATATAATTGGTCTGATATTTAGCACATAGATAGTGCACATAAATTAGCACATAAACTTGGCAATACTGTCAAAACTTTAAAAACTCTAGTTGCCAGATTGCAACAGATGTTCAGCAGATTTCAATTCAATTAAACTAACAGTAATAAAACAGGATTCAGTACATTCATTCCAAAATAATAAATATATGGTCATAAAATTGATATCTTTTAAAGATGTGGCAATCGGCAACTGTAAAAAACTATTGTGCAATCATCAGTACTTAAGTGAAACATAATCCGTTGAAATAAATTTCATATTCGTAAACAGTCTACCCTTTTACGGAACTAAAACCGAAATGATTCATTTAAATGTGAAATATTTATAGTTACGACTCCGAGAATGATTTATCAGGTGAAGAAGGTACGAGTACGGGCAAAACAAAGATAAAGAAACTTAAATATACTCAGAAATATAGGAAAGATTGGGAGGATGATGCAAATTTCAGAGGCTGGCTAAGACCAGGAAAATCAAATTCGGATGCATACTGCACTGTTTGCAATAAGACAATTAGTATTGGTGCCACTGGAAAGTCGATTTTATTGCGACACAAAGAAACTACTCAACATATAAAATTAACAAAATCGGCCAAAAAACAACAGACCTTGACAAGTATGAGTAAGTTCAAAAATGTTAATTCTCTTGAGGATTCAGCGAAACAGACTGATATATATGTAGCAGCTTATGTGACCGAACATAATATTTCTTATAGTGCTGCCGAGCATTTACCAAAACTAATTGAAAAAATTTGTCCTGATTCAGAAATTGCTAAGAAAATGAAATGTGGACGTACCAAGGTTTCATCAGTGGTGAAAAATGTGATCGGAAAACAGAACGAACTCAATATTATAAATATTCTAAAAACCGACAAATTTTCTTTAATAGTGGACGAATCAACTGATAGATCATGTACAAAGCATTTGGCATTAGTTTGCAAATACTTAGAAGGCGAAAAGTAAGTTTTTTAATTAGTATTTTTTTATGATAATCTAACTATATATTGAATTTCAGGATATGCGACACTTTTCTCACATTGATACCCATGAAAAAAGCTAGAGCAAGAGACATATTTGAAAAAATTACACTTTTTTTGAAGGTAAAAATATACCTTACAAGAAAAATTTGATAGGTTTTGCTTCAGATGGGGCAAATGGCATGGCTGGAAAATACAACTCAGTCATGAGTCGGCTGAAAGAAGAAGTTTCCAATATATTTCTAATGCGCTGTATATGTCACAGTTTCCATTTGTGTGCTTCAGCTGCATGCGAAAAATTACCTAGGGGGGTTGAAGATGTTGTAAGGGATGTTTATAACTTTATTTCCAATAGTCCTAGACGAATTGAAATACTAAAAGAATTCCAAACATTTGCAAATGTTAAAATTCATAAAATTCTCCATCTAGCGCAAACTAGATGGCTTTCTTTGGAAACTGCTGTGGTGAGATTGCTGGAGCAATATAATGCCCTCATTTTATTTTTTACAGATGCGGTTACTACTGAGCGCCTACTTGCAGCCGAAACAATTTTGATACGTCTGCGAGATCCAGTGACAAAATGTTTTCTGCAATTCCTAGAATTTGTGTTGCCTTTCTTCAATAACATGAACAAAGAAATGCAATCTTCTACCCCTAAAATTCACAAAATTCATGCTAATTTATTAGCTATTTATAAAACATTACTAGAATGTTTCATAAAAAGGGAATTAATAATTCATGTCTCATCTCTTGAAACAATCAATATTAATGATCCCAACAATTACCTGCCACTAAATGACATATATTTGGGGGCCAAAGTTTCACTGTCTGAAACCATTCTAACAAATGAACAAAAACATATTTTGCATACACGATGTTTGGATTTTTATATTGAAGGTTGTGCTCAAATTATGAAAAGATTTGACTTCAAGGACGATATTTTAAAAAAAATTAAGAGATCATAGATCCAGCTCATGTACTTACAGGTACAACACCCAGCATAGTTCCCTTAGCGAAGCTTTTTCCTAATCTGATTAAAGAATCGGAATTACAGATACTAGATAACGAGTGGCGGTTACTGCGAAATACCAAAATTAATTTCGATCCGTCCGCCACCATAGAAGATTTTTGGGTGTCTGTCAGAAACATGCGCTTTGGAGACAACTCTCCAATGTTTCAAACTTTGTCTGATTTTGCACTAAATTTATTATGTTTGCCTCATTCTTCTGCCAACGTTGAACGGATATTCTCCCAATTGAATCTGCTCAAAACAAAACAGCGCAATAAGTTAAGTACCAATAGTATTTTAGGGTTACTTCACAGCAAGAATGATCTCATATCTAAAAATGAAACATGTTACTCTTTAAATTTTAGAGAGCTTATAAAGCTGCATAACTCCCAAATGTATAAACAAATATCAGAGTTAACTGACTCTGATTCAGAATAAATTTAATTGTTTTTTTATTTCAAAGGCTACGATTGTAATTTTATTTTTAATAATTTGTTTAAGGCATTTTACATTATAAAATCTAATAGGAGCAATATCTGTGTGGTAAACAAAGATTTTTTGTGAACTACTGCTTTGTTTAGTGTAAAGTAGCTTTAAGATAGTTATTTTGTAAGATTTACTTAAATTTTTTTGTTTACCACAGCTTTGTTTAGTGTAAGGTAGCCTTGAGAAAGTTATTTTGTACGATTTACTTATTTTTTTTTGTTTACTACAGCTTTGTTCAGTGTAAATTAGCCTAAAGAAAGTAATTTTGTACGATTTACTTACATTTTTTTGTTTTATTTGAAATTATAAAAAATCTTCTGTTATCTACTGTTTTTTTTTATATCCCATTCTACTGTTATGAGAAATTTTCATCTGGCAACACTGCTGTCTAGTGCCAGTCTTGTTTGTCGGCCGGTCGGTGCATATGTGGATTAGTGTATTGTTTTCTTTATTTTGTTGCTATCGTACAAGTACAAATCCAGTAAACTGTTGTATTTGTCGAAATTTTTGTGGTGTTTGTGTAAGTATATACAGTGTCGTTACGTATATATAGATAATATAATAAATATTATTTGGATATTGCTTAGTATTATTGTTTTAGTGAAAGAAGTATGAAGCGAACTTTACAGCAGTCGCTTTTGAGATTTTTTCCAAAGAAGGGGAAAACTAATGATGGACCGAATCCTCAAAACGATAGAATCCTAACTACGCCGAGTATGGATATTAGTACAGATGGGGATGCTCCAACTCCCTCCACCTCAGATAGAACCAGAGAACCAAGCTATGGTAAGTTACTTTAATTTTAATCTCTCACCATTTTAAAGCATTTTTTTTAGCTGGTCTGGATTCTGGTATGGACTACGATTTGGTAAATATTTATCAAATAATCCAAAAAATGACGAAGAAAAATTAACAGTTTTAAAAGAAACTTGGACCTCTCCAGAGACTTTTAAGTTCCCCGTCTGTGGTAAACGAAGACTTTGTTTTCAACGTCATTGGACCCAAAAGAATCCATGGTTAGTATATTCAAATATGTTACAAGGATCATTATGCAAAATGTGCGTTTTATTTGGACAGACCGAAGGTGGTCGCGGTGATCAAAAAAAGTTTTGTCACAAAACCATTTAATAACTGGAAAAAAGTTCTGGAAAAAATGGAACATCATCGAAATACAAATTATCATAAATATGCTGTTGAACGGGCAAGAAATTTTGTAAGCGTTAGGGAAGGTCAATATATAAAGGCTATGTGCCATAGTGGACACAATCTTATTTTGCGGACGGCAGGAATTGCCTTTGTTGGGTGGTGCTGTGTTAAGCCATAGAATAAATGGGGAGGATAGACCAATACAATTTGCTTCCAGCACTTGGTCACCTGCAGAAAAAAGATACTCAAACCTAGAGCGGGAGGCCTTGGCTGTGATTTATGGAGTCAAAAAATTTCATAAATTTTTATTTGCTAGAAAGTTTTACATTATTGGTGGTGTCTATATTGTAAAATGGCGTACACCCTATACTCCATGCTATGGCATGCTGGACGAGCCATACAGTCTGTAGTCAACACCCCGAAGTATGAGCGGGAATACAAGGTGTATCAATACTCATACGCTTATGAAACGCACCTGGCGGATCATAAGGGCCTTCACATTTTACTCTTTTTCAACTTGTCTTGAGTAAAATGTCTTTAATCTTTCCTATCAGCCTCTCTTGGCTAACTCTTGTTTCTTCCGACCCCGAATGGTGATTAGGTTTCCGAAGGCAGACGGGTCACTATATTTCTTTCTACTACACACTCTTCACTCACCAACCCGCATGGCAAGCGTGGTGATTTATTTGCCATATCCCCTCAAATAATGTCAAGACTTAAAACTTCATTACCCCAGGTGAGTAGGATGAATCCAGAATCTCACACTGATTTATCAGTCTGTCCCAAGGACAGACTGATAAATCAGTGTGAGATTCTGAGGGGGGGGGGACAAAACCTTGACTCATAAATTATTTAAGATGAATGTCGCAACGTACAATGCTCGAACGCTACTGTCAGAAGCCAAGATCACTGAAATGGAGCTGGAGATGGAAAAGATCAGCTGGGACGTAATTGGGCTCTGCGAGGTAAGAAGACATGGCGAACACCTACAGACATTAAAATCTGGCCATATATTCTACCACTTCGGTGAAGAGAACAAATCAGTGGGAGGTGTAGGCTTCCTCATAAATAAACAGCTGTACAGTAGAATCCATACAATACATGGTATATCCACGAGAGTAATATACGTCATTCTAAAGTTGAACGACAGATATAACATCAAAATAATACAGACTTATGCGCCAACCACAGACCATAGCGAAGAGGAAATAGACATTTTCTATGACGAAATAACACAAGCACTGAAAGAAAATCACACCCATTTTACAATCATATGTGGTGATATGAACGCAAAAATTGGCATGAAATCCGATCCATCAGCATTTGTACTTGGAAACTTCGGCAGCGATGGAAGAAATGAACGAGGACAAACTTTATTAAACTATCTCCTTCAGAACAAATTATATCAAATGAATAGCTTCTTTTACAAAAAATAACATAGAAGGTGGACATGGAGAAGCCCGGACGGGAGAACGCAAAATGAAATTGACTATATAATAACAGATAAAAAATTTATAGTTAAAGATGTCACTGTACTCAACAGCTTCACAACAGGAAGTGATCACAGAATGGTTCGCGCTAGAATAGAAATTAACATCGATAAAGAGAGAAATAAACTAATAAGAAAGAAAAAAATGAAAGCATGGTCACAACCAAAAAATGAAACAGAGTTTGCAGATCAAATAACGGTACGTCTACAAAACAGGCCCCCCACAAATTATAAAAATCAGCTAAATAAAGTAATTACTAATACCATAGCAGAAGCACAAAGAAAATGTTGTACAGGTAACAAGAGAGAGGAGAGAATCACTGCTAACACCAAACTTAAAATGGAAGAAAGAAGAGAAATGCTAAAAGATAAGAGTATAGAACAACAAAGCATAAATAAAATCAACAAAGAGGTCTCAAAAGCAATTAGAAAGGACATAAGGGCATATAAAAATGAGAAAATCTCGCAGACAATCGAGCACAACAAGAGCATGAAGATATTAAGAAGGAAATTGACGAACAGCAGAAAAGAAATCATCAGACTTAAGGGAAAGAATGGCAAACTAACGTCCAACAGAGACGAAATGCTATAGATAGTAGAAGACTTCTATAAAACACTATATACAAATAAATTGGACTTAAACCCGACAGAACATACAGAACAAAAAATTATGAATCAAGGTTCAGAAGATATTCCCGACATATCAACGGCTGAAATTTACCATGCTCTAAAGAAAATGAAAAAAAAAAACAAAGCACCAGGAGAAGATGCAGTAGTGGCGGATGCGCTAAAAATCGGAGGCTCTGCTCTCATCAGGACAATCAAGCAGCTCTTCAATATATGCTTAGAAAACCAAGCAATACCAGCTGAATGGAATAATTCTATAACGCTCCTCATGCATAAGAAAGGAGATCAAACAGACCTCGAAAACTATAGGCCAATCAGTCTTCTAAGTCACCTGTATAAATTATTTGCTCGAATTATCACTGCCAGAATTGAGAACAAACTAGAAACATGCCAACCAAGAGAACAGGCAGGTTTCCGCCCTGGGTATGGTACAAATGACCATCTAACTTGTCTAAAGGCCCTAATTGAAAAAACTATAGAGTACAACCGGCCACTAGTTCTAGTATTTGTTGACTATAAAAAAGCCTTTGACACTATCGAGATGGTAGCTATCTTAAGAGCTTTGAGAGATTGTAGAATCGACTACCGATATACCAGCATTATTCAACATATATATGCAAATGCCGCAACAGCAATAAACCTCCACACCCCTACTCAAAAAATAAAACTAAAAAGGGGAGTTAGACAAGGAGACAACATGTCACCAAAACTATTCAATGCCGTAATGCAGCATGCATTCCAGATGTTAGAATGGGAAAACAGAGGTTTGAGTGTCGATGGCGAAAGGCTGAACCACCTACGATTTGCAGATGACATAGTCCTAATAACCGACGACTTAAAGGAGGCCAACGAAATGCTACAAGATTTACAACGAGTCTCCCAAAAAGTAGGGCTGGAAATAAACTTTGCGAAAACTAAAATGATGACCAACTTAGTACCTAGTGGACCATTGGAACTAGAAAACTGGCATATTGAAACGGTTGACAAATACATATATCTGGGCCACGAAATACAAATAAGTAGAGACAACCAAATATGCGAATTATCTAGAAGAATAGCTTTAGGATGGGCAGCCTATGGCAAGCTAAAAGACGTGTTTAAGGAAAACATCCCAATAAAGCTAAAGAGAAAAGCATTTAACCAGTGCGTACTTCCGGTGCTCACTTATGGAGCTGAAACACTGACATTGACTAAAGCATCAATAAAAAAGTTACAAGTAGCACAACGAAAAATGGAAAGATCTATGCTTGGCGTAACTTTGAGAGACCGAATACGAAATGATGAGATACGGCGAAGAACTGGAGTGGAAGACGTCATAAAACGGATTACGAAGTTGAAGTGAAAATGGTCAGGACACGTCGCAAGACAGAGAGACAACAGATGGACAAAGAAGATTTTAGAATGGCAGCCAAGGGCAGACAAGCGAAATCGTGGAAGACCACCTACCAGATGGACGGACGACATTAAAAGAATAGTGACAAACTGGATCGCAGCTGCACAGGACAGAGAAGAGTGGAGATATCTTGAGGAGGCCTATGTTCGACAGTGGACAAATTTGGCTGTGTGATGATGATGATTTACATTATTTCAGATCATGAACCATTAAAGTTTATCTTTGGAAGAAATAAGCAGTTGCCTATATCTGCTGCTATGCGTATTCAAATGTGGGCTATTCTACTTAGTGGTTATAATTATAAGATAGAGTACAAAAAAGGCAAACTGATTTCTAATGCTGATACTCTGTCACGTTTACCAATCACAGGCAAAACAAATGTATCTGACACTATATTTTCTTTTAGTGTAGTTGATTCACCACCATTGGATTATTAGGATATAGCCAAAGCTTCTAATTCAGATATAATTATTAAAAAGGCCATTGAATTTACAATCTGTGGTTGGCCTAATGTAATTTCAGATGAAAGTTTAAAGCCATTTTGTAAAAGAAAAAATGAGCTTTCTGTAGAAAATAATTGTTTACTTCTTGGTAACAAAGTGGTAATTCCACCCAGCCTTCAGTTAAATTTTGAGGAATATTTTGGAAAACAAAACTTCAGAACCGTGTTGGTTAGATACGTATGGCTTGAATTTTCCTCACTGTGTTTTATGGACGTCGAAAAATTAGGTGTATTTCACGTAAAAGTAACGTAAATAATACCAATATTAACAAAAAGTTTTTGATCTCGCTTTTAAAAACATTTAGCCTACCTATTTCAATCCTACTACTACTTAGAAGCTATTTTTTTTATTTAAAAATATGACAGGACCTAATATAATTTATGTTGAGCCTTTGTTGAGTCTAATTTGCAAATCGCGCGCGGTGATGACGTACTTCCAAGCCTTCCCTCCTAGTCCTAACGAAGAAGAATGATTATAACAGAGACAACAGATGACTTGTCTCTGATTATAACCTCTAAAATCAGCTTTTCTCAAAACGTGAAACGAAATTTTCCCTCGTTTTATTTTAGGCTTATATATGTACATAGTTATATGTCTTTCGTATTAATAGAGTTTGATGAGAAAGAGGGAGGTTCTGTTGCTGTGGTGCACCAGAACTGGCTCACTCCAAGAAAAAAGGAAGTATATTGGCCTCCTTATAAAACTCAAGCGCTTTACGATAAAGCAGTAAAGAAAGGGGATAGTTGCACGGAAGATTGGCAGATATTTAGGGTGAAACGTATTTTTAGATACTATGGTATGTATACAAGTATAATTATTTTGAAAAAAAAAAAATAATAAATTTGTAAAGGTAAATAGTTACATATTGTTTATGGTTATAAGTTATAAAGGCTTTATGTTTTCAGCTGTTCAGGATACCTCTTCACACACCCCAAGAAGCTCCACAAGTTCGTGTATTAGTTATGGTACATTGTGTAATACAGGAACGTCTTGTGATACCCCAGTCACTTCAGTAAATGTTGAAAGAAACCTTGAAAGCAATGCAGAGTCTCAAAGTAGTAAGTAGATGTTAATTAGGTACTATTTGCAGTATATAACCTTGTATTTGCTGAAGTGTTTATGGAACTTTAGTCCACTTCGGTAGTTCAGGGTTAATTGTTGAAGATGGCCATTTATTGATTGCTCAATATATCTATCTTTTTACAGGTTTTCAGACTAAGCTGGTGTCACATTTAGCGCTGATAATTGAACAAAATAAGGAAATCTTGTCTCTTTTGAAAAATAGACCACTGATTGAACAGTCTTCCGTTTTAAAGCCCAATGTTCCTGTAATTTTACCAATTTACACTTTTGAAGACTTACAAATTTTTGGAAAATTTTCTATCTGAAAATGAAGCCAATTGTATATCCTTGGTAAAACTTTTATAATGTCAACTGTTATATTTATTAAACTATTTTATTTTTAGAGCAAGTATCTGGGCACATTAGATAAAAATAGTGTAGTATCTGCTACCAATTCAGCATTAAGATGTTGTTTGGCTTATAAAGTAGCTAAAAATATGAGCTTTTTGGGATCAAGGAATAATAAAAAGGCCTTTAACAACAATATACTTAAAAAAGTGATCGTTGGTAAGGGTGACTAAATAAATGTATGTGATTACATATATTTCATGTAATAATTTTTACAGATTCTGTAAAACTAGCCACACCAGGTTCAACTACCAGAAGTATAGAAGACTGTATGAAAACTTGGTTAAAACGGGCTCCTAAGCACTACAAGTTGGAACAGATCAAATTGAATAGAACTGATGATGCCATATAAAGCTGTTGTAGGCAAAAGACAATTTTATAGGAGGCTAAAGAAACGTAGGGAAATAATTTGTAAGGACTTAAATAGTGAAAAAATGCTAACTAAGGTAAACTATGAAAATGCTAATGTAAAAAATGATACTGATAATTTAAATACAGATGTAAGTGTTGGCTGTGAAACCAGTCATAATTCTTTAGGCACCCCTAATATTTTAAATTCAAATGATTGTTTGCTAAATGAAACTCTTCAATTAAATACTCTAGTTCCATGTAAACATGACACGACTGTATTTGAATTTGTACCAGAAAATTCCCAATATTCTAATAAATTAGGAATATGCCAGGAATTAAGAAATTGGGTAATAAGGTCAGGCAGTCTACCACATAATAGTGTTACATACTTACTGCATGTTTTGTCAAAGTATCATCCTAAACTACCTCTAGATTGTCGAACCTTACTCAAAACTCCAACCAAAACTTTAATGCACCCTTTGAATAAAGGAAACTATTGTCACCTAGGAATTTCTACAGCATTAGAAAATTTTTTGTTACGCAATCCAAAATTTACTGAATCTGTAATTGAAATAGCTTTTAATATCGATGGATTACCTCTATATAAAAGTTGCAATAGTCAGCTATGGCCAATTTTAGGCCAAATAAAAAATTTTAATAGTAAACCTTTTTCTATTGGAATATTTTATGGATCTTCTAAACCGCAGCCTTTGAATCTTTTTCTTGATGATTTTATATCTGAATTAAAACATTTAGTTGATAATACATTTTGCTTTAAAGGCAAATTGTATGAAATTAAAGTGTTTGCATTTATTTGCGATGCACCAGCACGTTCATTTCTAAAATGTATTAAGTCCCATAATGGATATTCTTCTTGTGAAAAATGCATCGAAGTAGGAGACTATATTGACGGTCGAATAGTTCTCAAGTCTGTTACAAGTCAAAAATGTACTGATGATAGTTTTTTGCGACAGACAGATGATGATCATCATACAGGTATTTCACCTTTGGTGAAACTTTCAATTGGATTGGTATCCAAGTTTCCTATTGACTATATGCATACAGTGTGCTTAGGTGTAGTCAGAAAGCTGTTGCATACTTGGACAAGTGGGCCACTAAAGGTTAGGTTGTGTAGTTCTAAAGTTCAAAAAATATCTGAGACTTTAGAACATTTTTGTAAGTCCATTCCTATCGAATTTAATAGGAAATCCCGGTCACTTTCAGAACTGGCACGATGGAAAGCTACTGAATTTAGAACGTTTCTTTTATATTTAGGGCCAGTGGTTTTAAAAGGTACCATACCTGTTGCTATTTACGAACATTTTTTGTTACTGCACTGTGCGATAAGTATATTAATATCAAAACAACGCTTGTCAGATATTGGAGTAAATTATGCAGATACTCTTTTAAAAACCTTTGTTACACTTTGTTCAAAAATTTATGGTCAGATATATTTAGTTTATAATATTCATTATTTGTGCCATTTAAGTGATGATGTTCTTCATTATGGTCCTCTTGACCAGTTTTCAGCATTCCCATTTGAAAATGCCTTAAATCAAATTAAACGGTTGGTCAAATCAACAACTAATCCTTTAGCACAAATATGTAATAGATTGATAGAAGCTAATAGTGTCATTTTAGAGTCGAATGAAATAAAAAAAACACAACTTAAAATGAAACATTGTAGTGGCCCTTTACTTTCTAAACACCTTTTTTCTGTACAATATAAACAGGTAATTTTCAGTGAGATAACATTGTCAATAATTTCTCATTCCAATGCAGATTGTTATATTATGTATAATTCAGATATAATGCAGATTCAAAACATAGTTTGTGATAACCAGAAATTGGTAAAGATTATAACAAGAGTATTTAAATCAAAGTCTGCCTGGTATAATTACCCTTTTTCTTCAGAGCGTTTAAATATATACCTAGTTTCTGATTTATCTGAAAATTTAACTATTTGGCCACTAAATGAAAACGTAATTGTAAAATGTATTGTCCTTCAGTTAGATGATAATCAGTGGGTATCATTTCCATTGTACATTCATTGAATGAACATAATAAATAAATTTAGAAGCATGTGAAAAAACTTATTGTGTAGTATTTAAAATTTCTAATTATTACCATACTCTAGGCCTTACTATTGTGTTATACTAATTTGTTTATTATTTAACAGCAGTTGTATGTTTTCAAAATAAAAATTTACTAATTTACTTAGAATCAATTATTAAATGTTAATTTAGTATGTATTCTTAGGCATTATCATACTTTATCACTATTCCATACTTACCACGGTAGTGTGGTAAAGTAAAACTATTGAAACTAAGAAGAGATGTATCTTGAAGTTAATTATACAAGACAAATGTACCAAAAAATCTGTTTTTTAATGTTTTTTAGTATGTTATTATTAGGTTCTGGGATTGTTTTTAAACTATGCAGGCATGTAACTAGATTATACAGGGTGTGCGATCGAAAACGAAACAGACCTAATATCTTTAAGACACTTTTAAAAAATAAAAAATGCGAGAAAAGATCGATTTTTATTTCAACGGAGATACTTATTTTTCCTAATTGCAGCATCGATACTACAACCCTCGAGCAGTTGTGTGCGAAGAACCCCTAAAATTTAAATAGTAAATGTACCAATTGTAGCACATATTTAAAAAGGTAATTTTATGTTGAGTTCAGAAGGAACCAATATTGTTGAACAAAATTCCGATTTTAACGCCCTCTTGTGGGAAAAATAATCGTTACATAATTTAAAGTGGGACACCTCATGTGAGTTATTTTTATTGGCAATTCAAAACAAGAAATAATATTATCCAGAAATTATATTTTAAAAGTGAAATTAAATAAAAAGTTAAAGACTTAACAGAATCGCACTTTTCAGTCTTATTTTCACTCAATATGATTTCAGGATAATATTATTTACTGCTTTGAATTGGTAATAAAAATAGCTGTAAAATGAGGTGACACACTTTAAATTACATAACGCTTTCCCAAAAGAGGTGATTTGGTATATTCTCTATTTAAATTTTAGGGGTTGTTCACGTCACTGTTCGAGGGTTGAAGTGGCGATGGTGCAATTAGGAAAAACAAGTGTCCTCCTCGAAATAAAAATAGACTTGTTTTTGCATATTTTTAATGTGTCTTTTGGTCTTTAGTTTTCGATGCCTTACCTTGTATAGTAATTATGCAAGACAAATGTTTTTAAGTCACTAAATTCTACTAAATAAATACATTGTTAATACTTCATGTGCTTGTTTTATTTATATCATAATAATATATGTGAGAATAATAATTACGTGATTGATTCATAAGTAAATTAAAGACGAATTATTTACGTGAACTGAGGACGTATTTTTCACGTGAAAACTAATATATACATTACCTAAAAGTAACGTGAATCAACACGTGTTTTCAACGTGAATTTCCCGAAACATTTTATTGCAATATAAGGTAAATAACACGTCTATTGAAGACGAGTTATTCACGTAATGTAAATACGTATTTTCAATGTGACATTCCAACCAAATTTTCACGTGAAATTCACTTAAGCAATTTACGTATATTGGTGACAAACGTACCCAAAATTCACGTCATTAACACGTCGGTCTGTTTGCTGGGTATAAATTCGAACTAAATCTTAAACTTTAAGGGTGCGCCTTACTGTTTAAATGCCTACGGTGAAAGTTATATTGAATGTAATAACTGATATGTTGAGGCAAAATGTTTATCTAGAAGTCTAGAAAGCCTGATTTTTTAAATAAAATTTTGTTTTTATAAAATGTCTTTGAAAAAGCTTTTTTTTACTTTTCATTAACTTCTCTCTTCTTTATTTTTCAAAATTTTAAATTTATAGAACACTAGAGTGGAATGTACAGAATGATAACATTCATAGTTGAAGTACACATTAATCCACTGAGCTGTAATTATTAATGTCCCACGCACCTTTTTATGGCATTCGCAGTGTAGTAGGGCGCACCCTTAAAACCTTATAATACATTTGGTAAACTTTATATCCTGAACCTGTGAGTAAAAAAACGAATAAATAAAAGCTAGTGCAAAAAATACCCCTTGCCCCCTTAATCCGTAAAATAGTGAAATTCAAAACAGTGACCCTGAGTTCTTGAACCATCCTGTACAATGGAAACCCAGCACTAATTTTCCTTAATCCAATCGTTTATATTTTAATAGGATAATGTTTCACTCATTTTGGTCAAACCGTTCTCAAGTTATACATATCATACGGGTGGTATCTAAGACACTGCATAAACGTGTATAAAATAATTATTTATTTCTTTGTACTTAAAAACTCGAACGTGCACCAGTAACAGCCACTTTCCGGCCTTTTGATGAAATATACTATTATATCTGTTTAGTTATCAGTAAATTATTTTCCATTGACACTTTCCAGGAGAACATCCTACCACAACTTGGTGGTGAAACTGATCACAATAGAGAGGAAAAGGACGCAACGGAAGGGGATATCCTGACAGAGTTTTTGCAAGAAGATAGTGATGATGATGTTACTCGAAAACAATCGTCTGAAAAGGTAGGCCTATAGCCGTATGATGCACATTCCATTGTTTAGAAATATCAGAAGTTGAAGTTCTGAGATAAGCATCGGTATGCCCAGATTTATTTATGAATACTACACATCATAATCACGCTGTAAAAAGTATTTAAATGTTGCTTTACTATATACAGAAAAAAGTTCATACTGAATTTAAAAAAATAAAAATTGTCGTTAGAAAAAAGAATTCTAAAAAAAACAAAATTACAGCTTGCAACTGAATTAAACAAAGAGTAAACAAAAAATACACTATTTTTGTTCAACTCTGTATAGATACGCTGATACGTATATACGAACATCTCATTATGAATTAGATTAAATCAGAAGTTATTCTGTATGCTTTCAAAAAAATTGTTGCTGTTTGCTTTTTACTTTCGTGTTATAACTAGATTTTAATTTATACTTCAAAATTAACTTTTTTTACAGATGCCGGAAGAAACAGCAGTACTATCGCATGAACCAGGAGCGTGGCCCGTTGACATTTCTAGGAATGATTCAGACATCCTCGTCCGAAGAGGACCAAAACAAATTATTATGGACTTTCCGGTGAACAAAAATTGTCGTCGATTCACTGTCAAATGTTACCGTAGACGCATGGCCAATGGAGAGGAGGTATCACGTTCTTGGTTGATTTATTCAGTATCAAAAGACGCCATATATTGCTTTTGTTGCAGAATTTTTAGTAAAGTTCGACTTTCACTGTCTTCTGAAATAGGCTTTAACGATTGGAAACATATGTCAGAACTTTTAAGTGAACACGAAAGGTCCCCAGGGCATATGAAGGCTTTTCAGTCTTGGAAGGAATGTTCCTTGAGGTTGGAAATGGGAAAAACCATCGATGCAGAACATCAAAAAATGATTCAGGCTGAAGTGGGACGATGGCAAGAGGTACTAAAACGTATAATCATTTTTATACAATTTCTTGGCTCGCAGAACTTAGCTTTTCGGGGATCGTCAGACCAACTGTACGTTAGAGAAAATGGAAACTTCTTAAAACTTGTTGAGTTTGTTGGAAAATTTGATCCTGGGATCGCAGAACACATGAGGAAAATTACATGCAAGGAATCCTATGTTCACTATTTAAGGAAAAATATCCAAAATGAGATTATAGAACTGTTAGGCTCGTTGATTCGTGACCAGATTCTGAGCGAGGTGCAAAAGTCTAAGTACTATTCGGTAATTGTAGATTGCACACCAGACGTAAGCCGAACGGAGCAGATGACTTTGGTATTGCGTTATGTGCTATGTGACGAAGGAAAATACCCAGAGGTAAAAGGACGTTTTTTGTGCTTTATACCGATTGAGTCTTCAACAGGTGAAGCACTAACTGACGTTCTCCTGTCCAAACTGAACGAAATGAACCTGCCAATAGGGAACATGCGAGGACAAGGGTACGATAATGGATCAAATATGAGAGGGAAAAACGCTGGGGTTCAAAAAAGAATTTTGGACATCAATCCTCGCGCATTTTTTGTCCCTTGTAGCGCACACACTCTTAACCTGGTCGTCAATGACTCAGCGTTGTCTTGTACTGATGCTGTAAACTTTTTCATGGTTTTACAAGAAATGTATAACTATTTGTCTGCCTCTACCCATCGATGGATTGTTCTAAAAAAACATGTATCTGCTCTGACTGTGAAACCACTCAGCGACACAAGATGGGAAAGTCGCATTGACGCGATCGGACCTGTACGTTACCAAGCTGGTGAAATCTATGATGCACTTCTTGAATTATCTACTGACCCATCAGGTGATGCTTATGCTAAAAGTACAGCCTTAGGTCTGGCTAAGAAGCTGAAGAACTTCAAATTGATTTGCTGTCTGGTGGTTTGGAATACAATTCTCTCGAGGATAAATGTGATCAGTAAACTGCTACAAAAAGAAGATTTTGATATTGCAGCCGCTATGGAACTGATAGCTTCTGTAAAGTCCTACTTTAATGAAATAAGAAGTGACAAGGGGTTTGAAGAAATGCTTGTTGATGCTCGAGAAGTAGCAGAAAGCCTTGAAGTTGAACCATCCTTCCCTTCTGAACAACAAGTTCGACCAAGGAGAGTCAAGCGCCAATTTGATGATAAGGTACGAGATGAAGCAGTTGTGGATCCAAAAGTAAACTTCAGAAGTAAATGTTACCTCTACATTTTGGACACAACAATCGCATCACTTGAAGAGAGATTTTCTCAGTTATCCACCCACAATGACACGTTTGGATTTCTTTACAAACTGAAAAGAGAAGACATCAATACTCTAATGACTAAATGTGCAGACCTGCAGATATCTCTAACTGATGGAGATCACCGTGATGTTGAAGGACGCCAGATGTATCAGGAACTCTTAGTGCTCAAAACAGTTCTACCCGACGATTGTGGAGATAAACCAAAGGACATTTTGAAATTTATTTCATCACATTCTTTAAGTGAGAACTTTCCAAACGTTTGTGTAGCTCTAAGAATTCTTCTTTCTCTTCCAGTAAGTGTTGCATCTGGAGAAAGAAGCTTTTCTAAACTTACGTTAATTAAAAACTACTTAAGATCCACTATGTCCCAAGAACGGCTAGTAGGACTGGCACTTATGTCTATAGAATATGATGTATTACAACGACTTGATTTAAGCAACATCATTAAGGACTTTGCTGAAAAAAAGGCTCGTAAAGTTGCCTTTGTAAACTAGACTTGCAATACTTACAGAAGCCTAACAGACTAAATTACATCATTGACACCAGGCTATTGTTCATTGTTCTTTATATAATATTTTTAAATATAATGTAAATATACTTTACGTCCAAACTGTGTCCAAAGTCTTATGTTTCTTTAACTGACACTGTGCAAAATATACAACGCTTATGTAAAAAAATGGCGTTGATTTACTATCCAATTACATTTATATGGTATTACACACTTTTTGTGAGTGTCAAATTGACACCATCTGTGTGTCATATGCACATATGGTGTCAATATAACACACAGTTGGTGTCCAAATTACACACAGACGGTGTCAATATCATATGACACACACAAAAGATGTTAACATCCTGTGATGTCATGCTGTGTTGATTTAACACGAACATTTTACAGTGGGGCTATCAAAGGTCTTAAAATCAGCAGTTACTCAAAAAGTGTTGCAAACTTAAAAACAGCTGATTGTTGTTGTTTTTATAGGGGTTTTCACTAGGAGGGGGGGGGGGACTCAAAAGATCCTTGCCCGGGTGAAAATTTCGTCTTGAGCCGGGCCTGACTGTATAAGGCAGGATTCAGACTTAACTTGAATAAATGTAAATGTTTTCAACCAGAAATACGGTATTTAAGACACTATATAAATAAAGGAGGTCTACATAAAGACCCAGATAAAACTAAAGCTATTTCAGAGATTCCTAGACCTAAAAATGTAACAGAAATTAAAGCTTTTGTGGGTATGGTCAATTATTATGGAAAATTTGTACCGAATTTATCATCTGTGCTCAGTTCTTTGTATAAATTGCTAAAAAAAGATACTCCTTTCATTTGGTCCAAAGAATGTGAAAGATCTTTTGAAAATGCAAAAGCAGCAATATTGTCAGAGCAAAATTTAGTATATTTTGATCCGGTTAAACCAATGAAGTTGGTATGTGATAATTCAGAGGCAGGTATAGGTTGTGTGCTTTTGCATACTTTCCCAGATGGTTCAGAAAGGCCAATCAGT